TGTGTCAAGACTAAAAACATTTCAGATCAGAATACCATAAAAGCTCATTACATTTTTTTGACATGATAGGTGCTGCTGGAACAAATATATTTTCGGAAATCAAGTATGATATGTTTTTTTGTTGATAGTTACACATGTTTATGCAAAGATCACAGTGTTGAGTTCAGAGTTTCATATAATACAGTTGAATACTGTACCATACCACTTTTTCTAGATTTCTGCTTCTCGAATTGGTTTAGAATGGTCCCTTTCAACCCAATAACAAAACAAGTATTTAAATATTGGATTTCATAGTAAAAGTTCTCCCTATAAAAAAAGAGCAGCAATTCAATTTTTTATATAGTGCTTCTTCACACCTTTTCTTCCCGGAAAAGGCTTTGTACAAGTATTCGTTGATATCTACCAATATGTAAGAAACTACTATTCTTGAACAGACTTCCACCTTTCTGGTTGCTAAGTGCTTTCCCAATTTATTGAATCCGGTCGATTTGAACTCGAAACGGCAGCAACACGAAATATATTTGCTGAAATCAAGTATGATATGTTTTCTTTGTTGAGAGTTACACATGTTTGTGCAAAGATCAGTGTTGGGTCTATGTGAACAGTTTTCTGATCGCATTGAAGCATTGTTTTCTAGGTTTCTTTTCAGTACAATTTTGCTATATAGCGTTTTTTATGTTTTTGCTTCAAACAAGGTTCTGCACAAGCACTCACTGATCGATACGAAGCTATTATAGTTTGGAAGTACCAGAAGCTTTTGTATTTTTACTGATAATTTAACATATGATGTTGACAAGTCTAACGCTTTGACCACTAGGCTACCTGGCCACTGTTATAGCTGAGGTAGAGAGTCCATTTTTATTCAGGTCTTGCATAAAGTTCCTTTCAATCTACTTGAAGTAATTATTGTTTGAGGTGACCCATAATTACAATTTTTATTTTTGACATTCAATCACCAGAGATCACCTAAAAAAACTGGACCACCTGAATCCAGGAAGAAAACGGACTCACTCGCCGGGAGATACGGTAATACAAGCTTTTAAAAATACTTACTTGTCAGTTTTAAATCGAAGCTATTCATATACCTCAAAAATTCTGAAGACCTAAATATGCTCGCATCATTTTACCAATTAATTTATGTTTAAAATTATTTTATCCGGTCATTCATGATATGGCTAATAACATGCCACCAGCCAGAACTGAAATAATTTACAGAACGTGTTTGTGTGCATTTTGCAAAATGAGGAATTGAGACAATTCATCATGCGCAAAGAGAAAGCATAAACACTATAACAAAAATTTCATTCTACTTGTTATCTTTTGCTTCACAGCTATCAGTCAGCAAAACAAAAATTGGAAGAATTAAAAGGTTAGCTCCTCAGTTAGACGAGAAAATTGACTCTACTTTCGCTCCTTAAAAATTGAAAATGACTCCAGGTTGAAGTCAATTTTGACTCCAGTCTAAAACAATGCGAATCTCTGGCATATACAAGCCTATTGAGAATGCTTGTTCAACATAACTGAGTCTTGAATTGCAACTCCAGACTCTGGAAGATTCAAACTTTCACTTTGACACCTGCATCTAATTCTGTACCAAAAATTTAAAATGTACCGGTTTATCAATTAATTCATGCTAATATTCATGCATTTCATTCAGTTGTTGACATCATCCACAGCGAAGACTCAAGGAGACCTTCAGACTCGTACTGTGTAAAAAGAACCTGGCCAAACAAACCATCATTGGATCTGCCGATTACGATTCGCACATGGATCGACACCGGATTTATAAGTAAGTATTTCCAATAGCAAGGCAAAATACTTTGCTAGTAGAACGCTCTGGCACAACTCACAAGTATTGTGCAAGCTTGTGTATCTCTAATCTGAAATCAGCCCTCCATGCTTACAAAAACGTTTTATTTTTTCACTTCGAAACCTGCGCCTAATTCTGTACCGAAAATTTAAATGTAAGTCAATTAATTGCTGCTCATATTACATTCAGTTGTTGACTTCATCCACAGCGAGTCGTAAGATTCTAGAAGATCTTCCGACTCGTATTGAGTAAAAAAAAAGGAAATTCGGCCCAATAAAATCATCCATCCTACAATACCATCATTGGATCAGACAATTCGAATCAGGAGCTGGGTTAACACCCACTTTATCACAGAAAATCAGGTCACAAATGATATGAAATTTTACATTTTTACAGTTTCGAACATCATACTAACACATAATACTAATATGGAAGCCGCTATTCTTGCCAGGTAACGCTAAGTTAATATTCCGTTAGTATAATATCAGTAAATCCATTTTTATCTTTCTTTTATCAATTTTAATGATTACCATTAAATGACTTGTTTAACTAAACCAGTTTGGATTGGAAGCGGCTAATAGTTTGGAAGTACCAGAAGCTTTTGTATTTTTACTGATAATTTAACATATGATGTTGATAAGTCTAACGCTTTGACCACTAGGCTACCTGGCCATTGATATTGCTGAGGTAGAGAGTCCATTTTTATTCAGGTCTTGCATAAAGTTCCTTTTAATCTACTTGAAGTAATTATTGTTTGAGGTGACCTATAATTACAATTTTTATTTTTGACATTCAATCACCAGAGATCACCTAAAAAAACTGGACCACCTGAATCCAGGAAGAAAACGGACTCACTCGCCGGGAGATGCGGTAATACAAGCTTTTAAAAATACTTAACTTGTCAGTTTTAAATCGAAGCTATTCATATACCTCAAAAATTCTGAAGACCTAAATATGCTCGCATCATTTTACCAATTAATTTATGTTTAAAATTATTTTATCCGGTCATTCATGATATGGCTAATAACATGCCACCAGCCAGAACTGGAATAATTTACAGAACGTGTTTGTGTGCATTTTGCAAAATGAGGAATTGAGACAATTCATCATGCGCAAAGAGAAAGCAGAAACACTATAACAAAAATTTCATTCTACTTGTTATCTTTTGCTTCACAGCTATCAGTCAGCAAAACAAAAATTGGAAGAATTAAAAGGTTAGCTCCTCAGTTAGACGAGAAAATTGACTCTACTTTCGCTCCTTAAAAATTGAAAATGACTCCAGGTTGAAGTCAATTTTGACTCCAGTCTAAAACAATGCGAATCTCTGGCATATACAAGCCTATTGAGAATGCTTGTTCACATAACTGAGTCTTGAATTGCAACTCTAGACTCTGGAAGATTCAAACTTTCACTTTGACACCTGCATCTAATTCTGTACCAAAAATTTAAAATGTACCGGTTTATCAATTAATTCATGCTAATATTCATGCATTTCATTCAGTTGTTGACATCATCCACAGCGAAGACTCAAGGAGACCTTCAGACTCGTACTGCGTAAAAAGAACCTGGCCAAACAAACCATCATTGGATCTGCCGATTACGATTCGCACATGGATCGACACCGGATTTATAAGTAAGTATTTCCAATAGCAAGGCAAAATACTTTGCTAGTAGAACGCTCTGGCACAACTCACAAGTATTGTGCAAGCTTGTGTATCTCTAATCTGAAATCAGCCCTCCATGCTTACAAAAACGTTTTATTTTTTCACTTCGAAACCTGCGCCTAATTCTGTACCGAAAATTTAAATGTATGTCAATTAATTGCTGCTCATATAACATTCAGTTGTTGACTTCATCCACAGCGAGTCGTAAGATTCTAGAAGATCTTCCGACTCGTATTGAGTAAAAAAAAAAGGAAATTCGGCCCAATAAAATCATCCATCCTACAATACCATCATTGGATCAGACAATTCGAATCAGGAGCTGGGTTAACACCCACTTTATCACAGAAAATCAGGTCACAAATGATATGAAATTTTACATTTTTACAGTTTCGAACATCATACTAACACATAATATACATAATACTAATAAAGAAGCCGCTATTCTTGCCAGGTAACGCTAAGTTAATATTCCGTTAGTATAATATCAGTAAATCCATTTTTATCTTTCTTTTATCAATTTTAATGATTACCATTAAATGACTTGTTTAACTAAACCAGTTTGGATTGGAAGCGGCTAATAGTTTGGCCACTAGGCTACCTGGCCAGTGATATTGCTGAGGTAGAGAGTCCATTTTTATTCAGGTCTTGCATAAAGTTCCTTTTAATCTACTTGAAGTAATTATTGTTTGAGGTGACCTATAATTACAATTTTTTATTTTTGACATTCAATCACCAGAGATCACCTAAAAAAACTGGACCACCTGAATCCAGGAAGAAAACGGACTCACTCGCCGGGAGATACGGTAATACAAGCTTTTAAAAATACTTAACTTGTCAGTTTTAAATCGAAGCTATTCATATACCTCAAAAATTCTGAAGACCTAAATATGCTCGCATCATTTTACCAATTAATTTATGTTTAAAATTATTTTATCCGGTCATTCATGATATGGCTAATAACATGCCACCAGCCAGAACTGAAATAATTTACAGAACGTTTTTGTGTGCATTTTGCAAAATGAGGAATTGAGACAATTCATCATGCGCAAAGAGAAAGCAGAAACACTATAACAAAAATTTCATTCTACTTGTTATCTTTTGCTTCACAGCTATCAGTCAGCAAAACAAAAATTGGAGGAATTAAAAGGTTAGCTCCTCAGTTAGACGAGAAAATTGACTCTACTTTCGCTCCTTAAAAATTGAAAATGACTCCAGGTTGAAGTCAATTTTGACTCCAGTCTAAAACAATGCGAATCTCTGGCATATACAAGCCTATTGAGAATGCTTGTTCACATAACTGAGTCTTGAATTGCAACTCCAGACTCTGGAAGATTCAAACTTTCACTTTGACACCTGCATCTAATTCTGTACCAAAAATTTAAAATGTACCGGTTTATCAATTAATTCATGCTAATATTCATGCATTTCATTCAGTTGTTGACATCATCCACAGCGAAGACTCAAGGAGACCTTCAGACTCGTACTGTGTAAAAAGAACCTGGCCAAACAAACCATCATTGATCTGCCGATTACGATTCGCACATGGATCGACACCGGATTTATAAGTAAGTATTTCCAATAGCAAGGCAAAATACTTTGCTAGTAGAACGCTCTGGCACAACTCACAAGTATTGTGCAAGCTTGTGTATCTCTAATCTGAAATCAGCCCTCCATGCTTACAAAAACGTTTTATTTTTTCACTTCGAAACCTGCGCCTAATTCTGTACCGAAAATTTAAATGTATGTCAATTAATTGCTGCTCATATAACATTCAGTTGTTGACTTCATCCACAGCGAGTCGTAAGATTCTAGAAGATCTTCCGACTCGTATTGAGTAAAAAAAAAGAAATTCGGCCCAATAAAATCATCCATCCTACAATACCATCATTGGATCAGACAAATCGAATCAGGAGCTGGGTTAACACCGACTTTATCACAGAAAATCAGGTCACAAATGATATGAAATTTTACATTTTTACAGTTTCGAACATCATACTAACACATAATATACATAATACTAATAAAGAAGCCGCTATTCTTGCCAGGTAACGCAAGTTAATATTCCGTTAGTATAATATCAGTAAATCCATTTTTATCTTTCTTTTATCAATTTTAATGATTACCGGTAAATGACTTGTTTAACTAAACCAGCATCGTAGCACGTATTTTTTCAAATGGGAGGTGTCACTGGAATTGAAGCAGTGCTCTGAAAATGACCCAATTCGTGACACTTCAGGTCGTCATTGTTTTTAAAGTCCAGATGGTAACAGATTATTACTAATAAGTGGAATTGAGCTTCTGAGACTGTAAAATTGTTTGCCTTAGGACTCAAAACCATTCGAATGAACCAAAATTTCAGCACCTGGATGAAAGAGTTTGCTAGAAAGCATGTATTTTATCCAATTCAGACACCTAAATTTTACCATAGGAATTGATTAATTTAATGTGAAAACTGCATCCATATTCATTGTTCACTGAACTTTTCAGCAAACTCTGTGCTCTCAGGTCTAACTGTACTGCTAACGATGTCCATATATTTGAACATTGCTCTCTCGTTTGATAAGGCAAATTTACTTTAATAACGTTTATTTTGTTTGGACACTATTCAAAATGACACTAACTTTAATTCAAGTAAATATCCTCTTTTTTATAAAAAAATCTCACTCAATGGAATCTTTAGACAAAAGTAAGTACATCTGGTTGGTAAATTCCAAATCGCATTGTGTTCAAACAATTCATGTTCAACAAAGTGAAAATAAACTCTAGCTGGGGACAAAGGTTGAGAACTACTGACTAGTCAAAGTGGATTCTGCATGCACTGATATTAATGTGTAAAGAGGTACTAATTTTTCGAGAAAATCGGAACACAAACAAATTTTACGAGATTCGCCCTAAGACCAAAAATTCACTCATGACTTTCAGAAGCATATGCTAGAGTTCTATTCAGTGAGATGACTTCAATGGGTACCAGTACATCAAATGCCTAAGAATTTGTACAAAACAACCCAAAGTGATATTGCATGTAGTAGAAGATTAACCACCAACTATAGAGCCTAACAAATTAATTTTAATGTTCACTAAACTCTGTTCAGCAGATAAATAAACTGTCACTACATATTCAAGTAATAATAACTATGACTGGTACATATTCAAATTCACAGAACTAGCATTTACAGGCAGGGATGGCCAATACCGAATAGTTCACTATTTCGAATACATTCAAAATTATTATTTGTGTCGACTTAGAAAAATTGTAACATTGTTCCATTGTTTATCGTATGAAAATTCCTTCATATACTTAATTTTATTTTCGAACACATTCGAATAATGTTATATTTTTTAAGTCGACACAACCATGAGTTACGTTAACAGAATTAAATTAATACGGCAAGGTAGTATCGGTCCTGGATTTGAATATTTTGCACAACACAAAATCATCCTGGTAAAAAAACCATACTTTTTAATACCAACATTTATCCAAATTATTTGCTAAATAGCGGGATAAAGTATAAATTATTTTCCGACTTGTGATAATTTTTTCGTGAGACCTAAAATATGAATCCAAAATCAATTTTATTCAGGCACTTTACCACACATTATTTTGTAAATACGAATAAAAAATTAAGTATATTCGGGCACTTTGAGTCCGGAAATTGCCGTTATATTTTGGAGTATTGATACTTTTATTATTATGTAAATATGAATCAAAAAATAATTATGATCGAGAACTTTAAATACGACTCAGAAATTAATTATAACCGGGAAGTTTACCACACATTTTATGTCCACAAATCCCGTAGTATTTTAGAGCCATTAATACTTTTATTATTAGTAAAAACAAAAATAGGAATCATGAATTAATAATAATCGGGCAGTTTACCACACATTTTATTTCCGCAAATTTCCATAGTATTTTAGAATAATAACACTTTTATTCTTTAGTAAATTCGATAATAGGAATCAAAAATTAATACTATCGGGCAGATTATACACACATTTTATGTCCATAGATTGTCGATGCAACCATAAGTTATGTAGTACAAAAATAATTTTATATGCTGATATCGGTCATTGATATGAATATTTTGCGCAACAGAAAATCATCCTAGTAAAAACTCTAAACTTTTAACTTATTATCATCAAAATTAATTGCCAAAAAGTGGGAAAAAGTATGAATCATTTTTCCTAATTGCGACACTTTATTGGGTATCATAACAATCTCGGTATAGATAATTTTCAAGGTGTCGCAACATGGGACGCACGCTCGCACAGAATATAAACAATTAAAGCGCCGATTCTATGTGACAAAGCGCAAAAATACTTTCGAATATTCGATTTGTTTCGGACAACCCTGTTTTCAGGGATGCTGACGTATTTTCTGGAGAGAAAAACAATTACCGGTATACTATAAATTGAGTTAGGTATTTTTGAGCGTACTTGAAATTAGAATCTCTCCAAACATGCCCTGTCTACAGATCACAGCATTGAACGGCAAGAATTAGGACAATTGAACACACTAAAAACAAATTATTTACTGAATCGTACCACATAATTACTTTGAGGATTAAATGTCATATCAGAAATGAAAATGCTGGTTTTTCGTTTCATATCATGCAAGTGTTTTAATTATCCTCCATACCATGCAGGCCATCACAACCAAATAATAATAATTACATGCTGCATGTTCAATAAATTGGATAGGCAATGCAGAACAGGAAGTTCAGATCTTTTGAAAAAAATAGTTATCCTTACTTCAACTTGATGTGCATAATATCCCAGGTTTGATTTTGTTAATCATGGCGATATCTGCCAAATCTCCGAGGAGATTGCCGTCACCGACACTAAAAAAAAAACAGTCAATTTCATTGGAAAAATAAAATATTGGACAATAAAATACAGGCTTAAAAAAATTGTGAATTGAATTTTTATTAATCAAGACAGATAAAGACAGGCTATAATTTCGAAAGAACTGGTAAATATAGGTCTTAACTTATGTTGGCAAAACAGGTTGATAGTCTCGGGTTCAATTCCCATATCGACCCGAACCTTCAGGGTGTAAAATATTAGGTTCGAACTATAATTTACCAATCCGTCCAAAAAAGCCTATCATATGACCTAACGGTCAAAAATATTCTTCCTAATGTATAATCAATACTTTGTAGGACCTTTGTAGAACATACCCAAGTATATTGTTCTTGACAAGTTTCAGCTGTTTTTTTGTAGATGGAACAACTGAAATAAAAAAAAGAATGTTATTATATGCAAATTCGGGTTGTTAATAAATAAAAGTTAATTTGTAAAGTTTACAGATTTTACTTCCAACATGAGGCAATTTAATTTTTAGCCAAATACAATACAAAATCTAAAATTGGTTACAATATTTCTAACCTACTAAGAATAGAAAAATAGTAAACAATGTAAAAAAATGTACTTACTTTTTTCTGAAGATTCCGGTGAGTGAGATTTTCTATATAAAAAAAGGGGATATTTTGCTTGAATTTCAAAGTTATTGTCTAAAAAAACAGTATGAGAACAAACAAAATAAATATTAAATCATATATGGACATCGTTAGCAGTACAGTTTGAGCACAGAATTTGCTGAAAATTTCAGTGAACAATGAATACGGGTGCAGTTTTCACATTCAATTAATGTATACATTCGGTAAAATTTAGGTGTCTGAATTTGATAAAACAGTGGCTTTCTCGCAAACTCATTTATCCAAGTACTGAAATTCTGGTTCGTTAGTTGTAGAATAAACTGGTTTTAAGTCCCGAGGCAAACAATTTTACAGTCTCAGAAGCTCACTTTCCCATTTTTTCGGTTCTTTTCAACATATTAGTAATGATTTGTTACCATCTGGACTTTAAAATAATGACAACCTGAAGTGTCACGAATTGGGTCATTTTCAGAGCACTGCTTTAATTCCAATGAAACCATCCATTTAAAAAATACCACGTTACGATGCTGGCTTACATCAACAAGTCACTTAATCATTAACATTGATTGAAGATTAAAACGGATTTAATGATATTATAATAACAGAATATAAACTTTGCATTACCTGACAAGATTCCGGGTTTATTCTGTTTGTCGATGGCATCGTCAATGTTTGAAGCTGTAAAAATTTTAAATTTCATATCAATTTATATATATAATTCCCATATTGAAAAAGATCAGGGTTGTGCATTTTTGAATGTTTGTGCATAATATACATAATTCAACAAAAGCAAATACTGAATGTTAGGGCTGGGAAAAAAATTCGAATAACGAATCGAATATTGAATTATTCGAATGGCATTTTACTGTTCAAATATCCGGTACCACAGACAAAACAGACAGAAGTGACAAAATTCAAGAAACCGTTATCTTTGCCTTATGCCCTATGGCAGCGGTTCCCAAACTATGGGCCGTTACCCACTGGTGGGTTGCAAAAGGAATCTTAGTGGGTCGTGAAAAGATGTAAAAAGCTTTGATTAATTATACTGGTTATTAGGATCGGTGGCGACTCGAATATGTAAATCTTCAAAAAAACAAAATAAATTAAAAT